GTCTTAGGTTTGAAGCCTTCTCTTTCGACTTATGCTGCACTCAAACAGATGAAAAAATCATTCAAGGAGCTTATGCTGCACTCAAACAGATTAAAAAAATCTGGAGATGTCTGATTCTGTTGCAACTTCTTTAAATGAGATTACAACATCTTTAAATGAGATTCCAGAGATTGCCTAAAAGAATCTAATTATGCTGGGAGTTTTGTGCAACTCTAGAACTGTAAAAAGAAGCAAAAAGGTCGATTCCTTTTATTTTTGGCAGATCTGTATTTTTGTAGTTCCCTCTTGCGAAATAAACAACAAGGGTTTCTCTCTTTGAATGAACTGTAAGTTGACGAGTCTATCCATTTCAAATATTACATACAAAAGCACAATCTTCTTATAAAGTTATATAAAGGCAACAAAGTGATATGGTCTTTACATAAGAGACAAATCATGGATTCAGCGATAAGGTCTTTCGTCTGCCACAGAGAATCAAAAGTTACATTACTACACTCACTCGAAAAAGCTGCAGTTTCAGGTTTAGACAAAATAGTTATGAAACTTTGACACAGAGTTCATTCGAAACCTCTTTTGCAGGACTTGGAAGCACCGCGTGGGAGATTAGTAGGCAAAATAGAATGTCTAATGTTCGAGGTTTTGCAGACCAGACATTTTTTGAATCTCCTCGATGATCAGCTCTTTTTCCTCTTCGAATTGATCATCTTCGGAACCTAAATAAGATTTCAAGTAATGGTCAGTCTAGTTTAGAGGCTACATTTAATAGTGGAATAGATTGAATCAATACCTTTACCAGGGGACAAGTTGTGAAGGAGTTCGAGTAATTTCTCATGATTTCTTGCCAAAATGATCTTCACTTCTTGCGGCTTATTAGGATTCGCAACAAAGATCTGTACATGCACAAATAAATGCGGTTGTTAAGGCTTCAAAATCTGATAATAACTCATCCTCAAAGACCTATATGACAATTGTTACCAACTTTATTGCGGTTGTAACAAAGAGAAGATATGTTACCTTGAATATATGGAAGGCCGATATTTGAATATTCTTGCTCGAGTCCTATTCAT